AATTTTTTCTCTGTGCTTTTAGACATGTGAATTTCTTTTATAGTTTCTGATTCTTGTGTGAGACTCACATCTTCAAGTTTAGGTCTGCTTCTTTTTGTAAACTTTATGTGCCTTTGTGGTTTACTTTTTGGGCATTAAAAGCTGGTTTGTCTAAGCTTCTGGTTTTCTCTTTTGATTTTATATTGGAGTGGCCAGATTGCTTTTGTCTTCAGGAGTTCCCACAGAGGCCCAAGTCAGATGAGGGTCAGATGCTCTCAGGCTTTCTCCTAAGGTCTGGATCCCTCCAGGAAAGATTTTGGCCTCAGGAATTTGGGGGTTGGACTGGCCTGGGAGCAGGGCTCAGGAAAGATGCTGGTCTAGGGCAGCTGGTGGCCATGCCACCCAGAGATGCAAAGGAAGATGGGGGCGGGAAGAGGCCCCAAGGGCTCCTGGGGACTGCAGAGAGGAACTGTGTTGGTCCCAGAGAAAGGCCTGTATGTTGGAGAGAGCAAATAAATCTTTTCAAAAAGAAGGGAGGAAGGGGATGGAGAGATGGCTCAGTGGTTAAGAACACTGGTTGCTCTTGCAGAGGACCTGGGTTCAGTTCCCAGCACCCATATGGTAGATAAGAACTGTCTGTAACTCCAGTTCCAGGGGATCTGACACCCTCTTCTAACCTCCGTAGGCACTGCATGACATGGGTGTACTTACATACATGCAGAGAATATACTCATACACATAAAATAAAAATAACAAAATATTTTAAAAATAATTTTTAAAAAGGAGGAGAGCAGGGGTGAATATGATAAAATACATTGTATGAAATTCTCAAAGCAGTAATAAAATATTTTATTAAAAAGAAATGTCTGGCCGGCCGTGGTGGCACATGCCTTCAGTCCCAGCACTCAGGTGGCAGAGGCGGGCAGATCTCTGAGTTCAAGGCCAGTCTGGTCTCCATAGTGAATTCTAGTCCAGCTGTGGCTGCAGGGAGACCCTGTCTCAAAAAGACAAAAAAAAATGTCTAAGAGGGGAAGCAACTTTGAACAGGTATGCTGCTACAAGACTGAACACTCATTATACTTCTGGAATCAAGCATATTCCTGGGTCACATATACCTTCTGAGACAGCAGAGGTGAGGCTCCTTCCATACCATGTCTTGAGGACTGGGGAGGTACCCAGGAAGCTGGTGTGGCAATAGCAACCAGGGAGGGTCCCACGTCACTGTAACAGTGTAGTGTGCAGGCCTGTCTGCAGAATGGGTGCTCACTGCTTTGTGCTCTGCTAATGCCTGTGCACAATCAACCCAAGCTCTTCCACAATTTTTAGGTAAATACAAATAGATGATTACAGTGAGCTTCCTAAGCTTCTTTCCCAGCCCTCATTGTGTCAACCTATGTGAGAAACAGGGACTGGGACTGAGAGACATGTCACTTAACCCTATGTGTCTACTGGAGGGAGAGTCCCCTGCCCAAGAGAGTAACAGGCTCTGTGTCCTTAGGCTTCACCTGCAAGGTGAGTTCAGGTCCAGAATGCATCTCTGCAGAGATCTGTCCATGCTGTACAGCACCACACGCTGGCTCACACGTCTCAAGCAACAGAGCCATGTCATTGGAAATACACAAGAAGGTAATGGAGTCTCCCTGAACTGCTAGCTTCCCTGGGGGCCATTCTATGTGCACACATGTTTCAGGCACAAACATGGGGAATCTGAACCCTAGAGAGCTGCAGCTGGACGGAGTCTCCCTGAACTGCTAGCTTCCCCGGGGGCCATTCTATGTGCACACATTATGTTTCAGGCACAAACATGGGGAATCTGAACCCTAGAGAGCTGCAGCTGGAGGTCTCCAAGAGTGAGTCTTGGGCAGCTGGCTCACTGTGCCTCTACACCCATTTAGGAGAGTTCTGCAGTCAGGAGTGCAGCTGCCAACAGGTCCTACAAAGACATCCAGACAATCAGAAAGCTGCTTTATTCAGTTACATTTCTTAATCACCTTTCAAGAATGAACTGTACAGTGATATTCACCGACGAACACATACATGCCAGGGGTTCGCTGCAGAGTGGAGATCAGCAGGTGAGGAAGCCAAGAACTTGCTCATCTTCCCAGCGTCCACCCCCCAGGAGAAGCTGACCCTTGAGGCAAGACAAGGAGAAGTGAGCTTTGAAACGACTCCGAATTTTATACTGCTCAAGAAAATAAGAATGCAAATGTCAAATAAAAAAGATGTCTCTGGGTAAGTGGTGTGGGCCTTTAATTCTAGCACTTGGGAGGTAGAGGCTGGTGGATCTCAGTGAGACAGAGGCCAGCTTGGTCTACATACTAAGTTCCAGGCAGGCTGGGGACTAGGGAGACCCTGTCAACCAAACCAAAAATATGTCGGAGGGAGTATGTATTTTCAAAATTTCCCATCAGGTTAGTCCTTTCAGAGCACTGCTGACTAATTCAAAGTCTGCTGTGGAGACAAGAGTGAGCAGTATTCTGTTTTTGAACTTCTGAGAAGCTGAGGCATGTGAAGCTTTGTGTCTACCCTCACCATGCCCATCTACACAAATATCTCACGCATGCACACTTTTGAGAGCAGTCTTGGATCTGCACAGCCAGCTGAGCACTTGCCTGCACACTGCCTCTGCAGCAGGCCAGAGATGCTGATGGGCTGCCGGGGTGGTCCGGTCCACGAACTGCTGAGGCTGGGGGAGCCTGTTTGTGTTGTTCTGCTAGGTAGCTGGGATGCAGGAGCTGGCGACAATCCCTTGTAGGACATCTGTATTGGTGGGACCCTAGGAATAAATTCAACCAACACCAAGTCATAAATATTACTGATGTCTCTGGTGACATGGTCATCCAAGCACTGCTCATTGCATGGCCTTAAAGGTTACCTATTAATTTGAAAGCATGCTCTGAGATCTCAGGATGAGTGAGCTCTGAGTGTGCCTGTGGGTAGTCACTCCAGGAAGGCTTGCTCTAGGCTAAGAAGGTGGAGAACAGGACTGGTTTGGAGGCTCCCCTTGTTCTGTACAGATGCTAACTAATGCCAAGCTAGATCTGCACTTTCTCCAGGATCCATGACAATAAGCTGAGCAACAAGGGAAGCCAAGGTCTATGCAACCTCAGCCTTGCCCTGTCACCACAGCCAGCTTTGGCCTGTGTCTACCTGCTCCCGGAAGCCACCCTACTGTGCCCCACTTCCACCACCATTGCTTTCAGCAATTCTAGGGTGTTCTAGCACCTTCTCACCCTGTGATCACACCTTGCCTCTTCAGGTCAGCCTCATCCCCTGCTCATCCCTTAGTCATCAAGGGCCCCAGGTTTCACCTTAGCATTCTGAAGGTTCTAGAAGCTTTCTTGGCAAGTATGACCAGACCATGTCTTTGATTATGGTCTCCAGGGTGATGAATCTCAAATCTTGTGTGCCACCCAGACCCAGCTTACATGTTACACCCAGTGTGGTGGTATCATTAGCTGACTGGATCTCCCTTCTTTGCTAACCTGTAATTTTTTTCTGGATTTTATGGTTGTTGGACATCCTGGAGCCCTGTGGTTCTTGGGGACACTGCTCTTCCCAGGGTAGCTAACTCCTGTAGCCCACAAACAGCTTGGCTTTGGACACACCTCGCATAGGCAAACCCACCCACCCACAGCCCCATCCTTTCTCAAACTCACACATGCCAACCGTTTGTCCTGCCCACACATTCTGGATGAACAAAGACTGCCCATGAACCCAGAGTTCCTGGAGTTAACCACAGAGTAAGTCATCGACATCTCTTTCCATAGAAAGCATAGAACAATATCCATGTCCACACTTCCCTGCCTTTTCTGCCTCTTAGAAAATGAGAGCAATGATTTCTGGGTGGCCACCTCTGTTATCTTACCACAGCATATTCAAACACAGCCCAGGTATGCTTACTGTGTTGAACCATGTAGTTTGGAGGAGACAGAGGGTAGGGCCTGGGGCAGCTCTGACAACATGACACAGCACCAACTAGGGGATATAAAAAAAACAGTAGTGAATAAAATGGTGTTGGTGCTGCAGGGGGAGCAGGTACCAAGGGAGGAGAGACCAAATCCCCAGGGTGGGCAAAAGGTTCTTGTGAGGCTCTTCATTCAGCAGACCAGTACAGATGACCTCAGTACCTAAAGGACAGACATGGGGACCAGGTCATGTGCTTATTATAGCTAGGTCAGCTAGAGGTGGGCAGTAAAGTGTGGACTTCACCACAGTGTTGGAGGATGTTCAAGGACCTAGGCAGCAGTTGAGAGAGGGCCTGACTTCTTGAGACTGTGGCCTTTTAGAGCTTAGAGTATGTATGAGGTTGCCTGTTGAGAAGGGTAAGGTTGAGTGAAAGATGTGCTCTCAGTCAGCATGCCACAGCCATGGCCAAGCCAGCCTGTACATGCTTCTGTGAAGAGTTTTCCTGGGATGCAGCCAGCTCGCCAGCTTCCATTCCCCCAGCCACCTTGCTCATACAAAGGCATAGCTGAGGAGCTGCATGAAAATCAGGATTATTTACCTCTTGCCCTACACAAGAAACATTCATGACTCTAGCCTACTCTAGCAAGGAGGTATTGTGCTGCCATTCAGTTGTTCTCTTAGAGCATTCAACAACAGGGCCCAAGTCATACCTCCAAGTGTAAAGTGAAACATACAATATAGTCTCATCCAAACATGACAGACCAGATTAAGAAGCAACACGCTAGCTTCAACAGTAGTTGGAGGCTTTCTTTGACTACATTTTGTGTTAATGGAAACCTACCTGAGAGTCTTTGTCACGCTTGCAGGGATGGGTGTGGAGCTGAGATGCTGGGGTCCCCGGCAGGTGATACTACCTGTGGCAGGAATAAAACCCACTGTGTACATGTGTGTCACAGTGCCAGACTATACATGCAGCTGCTTCTGTGTACTGTGCCATGTGCCCATTGTGAGACTGTTGACAAGTGGGACTATTTGCACTTACAGATCATCTGACCCTAGGTAGCTCTGAATGCAACTTCTGACACACTGAGCATTCTAAGTCCTCTCCAGTACCATGGAAGGTGCATGTGTCTTGTATCCCAATCTTTTCATTTATGCCCCTTTCCAGTGAGACAATGTAAATCAATGGGATGAATTGGCAACTTGTCAGGACCTGTCACCAGAACCAACCAGGCCAGCTGAATTTCAGCTTCACAAAGATGTTCCTGGGCTACAGTGTTCCCTCTACTGGTCAGTGGCTAGTCAGGGAGGGTCAGGCATGCATGCTTGACACACAGGCACTCAGTACTGGAGAGCCACATACCCTGGTCTAGAAAGAAACTCCAGGGCTCTCTGATCCCTCTGCACAGGTCTAACAGAACTTTCTGTTCCCCTTGTGGTGACATTGCCTTGAGACAAGCGCGGTGGGGAACATGATGATTGCCATGGTTGCCAGGGCCCTGTGTGTTATGTAACACTGCAAGGCATGCTGGTCCATGGGGCACAAGGCAAGGCAAGACACTCATGCACATATGGTCAGCACTAGCTGGACTTAGTGGGCTATTAAAAAGAAGAATAAAACAAGAGGAAATGAATTCAAGCGGGAGATGGGCTAATGGGTTCCAGGGGGCTGAGGGAGGTAGTGGGGGGTGGACAAGATCAAAATATATTGTATACATGTATGAAAATTGCAAAAAATAAAATAAAAATATTATTTTTTAAAAAATAAACATTGCTTTAAACTTTAAAATATTGCCAGGCATGGCAACACACACCTCTAATCCCAGCACTCAGGAGGCAGAGGTGGATTTCTGTGAGATCAAGGGCAGCCTGGTCTACATAGTGAGTTCCAGACTGGCTGGGGCTACTGGGAAACCCTGTCTCAAAAAACCAAGTAAATAAATAGTTGTATTTTATATTTGTCAAATAATCACATATCTATTTATAGGATATAGTATGACATAATAATGTATGCATACAGGGTAATTAATATATAAAAAAGAAGGTTTCATTTATATGGAATATTGGCTCAGTTTTTCTTTTCTAGTCATCTTTGGCACACATTTTATTGACCTCAGAACATGAATTGGAAAATATTTGATCTCTGATTTTCTGAAAAAAGTTTACGCATGACTTGTATTTCTCCTTAAATGAAATTTACATAAGAAAGCCATTGGAAAAATGGAATTTTCTTTGCAGAAAGGCCTAAAAATTGATGCAGCTTTATCTGATATGGGTTTATTCAGATTATTTGTTCTTGGGTCAGTTTTGATCATACTTTGTTTCTTATTTCAAAGTGCCAATGTTGGATCCTGCTGCTCGTGTGTGTGTGCGTGTGTGTGTGTTTTGATCCACCTGCCTCTGCCTCCAGAGTGCTAGGATTAAAGGCATGGGCCCCTATGCCCAGCTCAATTGCTGTTTTTGTTTGCTGTTCTTTTGTAGCTTAGATTACTGAGTTGAGATCTTCCATTCTAACATAAGCATTCAAAGCTATAAATTTCCCTCTAAGCATTGCTTTCCTGTATCACATACACTTAGATATGTTTTTTTCATTGAGCATGCTCTGTTCACGGTATTTTTGAGTGGCTTTTGTGATTTTTTTATTTGATTCATGGACTAATTGGAATTGTGTTGCTTAGTTTCCAAGTATTTGTTCATTGTTAGATTTTCTTCTGTTGCTGATTTTCAATTTAATTTTATTGTGGTCAGAGAATGCATTTTGTATGACTCTAGTTCTTTAAAATACATTGAAAGTTGTTTTAAACCCTAACATGTGGTCTGTTTAGAACATCTCATTTACACTTGGAGAAAATGCGCCTTCTGCTGCTCTTAGGTGAGGTCTGTACACACTGTCATGTAAATTAATCTGGCTTTGTATTCTTCAAATCTTAACTTCTTAGCAATTACATATCTAATTTATCAATTGGGAATGGGCTATTGAAACACCCAAACCATAATCACTGAGTTAATGATTCCCCTTAGTTCACTGTATATTTGGGGGCCTTAATTTAATTGTTGTGGCTTCCTAATATATTGATCATTTGCCACTGCAAAGTGCCCCTCTTGGTTCAACTAGTAATTTTTTTTTAATCTCAAACCCTATTCTGTCTGATATGAATAACATCCCAACTCTAGCTGCTGTTTGCATGATGCACATGCTTTGTAATTTTTCCTTCAATTTATTTGTGTCTTTGAACTGAGTGTGTTTCTCATAGATAGAATGCAGGTAGAATTTTTATGCCAGTCTGACAATCTTTTTCTTTTTTTTTCATCTTTTTTGACACAGAGTCTCCCTGTAGCCCCAGCTGATCTGGGAGTCACTGACATCTGCTTGCCTCTGCCTCAATCTCTGCTTTTTTGTTGGAGCATTTAGTTCATTCCACTTAATGTTGCTATTGATGCAGTTAGCTGTGGGAGTGCTGTGTCATAGTTTTGTCCCTCTTTCCCTTTAGATCCTCCCTCGTGAGCTGGTTTGAAGAGAATGCTGGAGTCTAACTAAAACTGCCTGCCTGGTTTTTCTTTCAGTTTGTCATTTCAGCTTTGTGTATCTGCACAGATACACATGTGTATCTTTACATATGCACAGATAATGGCCTGTCCTCCTGAGACGCTGATCTGGCATCATGAGACGGTGTCCCTGCTTGTTTCTAGCAAGTTCATTCTGTCTCCATGAATGAGTTGCTCCAGCTCTCTTCTAATTACTCTTTCCATGGAATCACCTCCACCCTTTTGCTTTGGACCATTGTGATGTTGAATATCTCTTACAAGCACACAGTTACAGCTTACTTAATCTGGTCTGTCAATTTCTGCCTTTTGGTTGGAGTTTAGTCTATCGATTCATATAGTTCAGTTTACAGCTGCTATTAAGTTACTTGTTGATGCCTCTTTCTTCCTCTTCAACATCGCCTTCTTTTGTGTTTAGTAAATGTTTTTCATTATAGCAACGCTTTCCCACTCCACTTGCACTTGAATCCAGGGGCTTGCCCATGCTACGCAAGAGCTAGGCCACTGAACTCCAACTGCTGTCTTTCACTGACTTTTAGCAGGACTTTGGGAAATTACATTTGCTGTGGCTGCTCTGACAAGTCTAATCATAGTTAATACTGATACGGTTCTGTAACCCTCAGCACCTTTCTCCAGAACTGTTTTATGTGCTCCCACTTCCTCTGTGTTTGTCATATGCCCATTTGTGCTGTGACCTGACAATATAACATTAACAACACAGTATTAGAAATGTTGCTTGAACTTTGAAGGCAAAAGAAAAATAAACACAGCCTCCTACACCCACCCACGTTTGTTTACCATAGTGGATGCTTTTTCTCCTCCCAGTGGCTTAAGGTTACTATGGTGTCTACCTCTGGCCAGAAAGCCTGCCTTTAGTATCTTTGGCAGCACAGGTATACAAGTAGTGAATTCTCGGGATTTTGTTACATGGTAAATATCTCTATTTTCCTTCACTTGCAAATGATAATTCCAAATGAATATAGAATTCCTGGTTGACACTGTGTGTATGCACATATACATGTTCGTGTGTGTATGTACAGGTATGTAGGTGTGCATGTATGTGTGTGCATGTGGAGGCCAGAGGTAGATATTGTGTGTTGTGTCTTTCTCAATCATTTTCCATCTTATTTAAGATCTATTTTTTAAATTATGTGCATATGTATGTGGGTCTGTGCACATGTGAGTACAGGTGCCCACAGAGTTGAGCAGACGGTATAGGATCCCCTGGAGCTGGAGTCATAGAATGCTGTGAGTTGCCAAATGTTGATTCTGGGAACTGAACTCAAGTCCTCTGCAAGAGCAGTATGCGCCCTTAACTCTTGAGCCATCTCTCCAACCCCTCCACGTTAGTGTTTGAGACAGGATCTCTAACTGAACCTAAAGCTTGCCAATTCAGCTAGACTGACTGGCCAGCGATCCCCAGGGATCCTCCTGCTTCCACTTCCCCATCACTGGGATTATAGGCATGCATTACTGCACTTGGGTGCTGGGGCTAGAATTGAATCCTACCTTGTATGGCAAGCACCTTACTGAGTCATCACCCCAGTTCCCCCAGTTAATATCTTTTAAAAGGCACTTTGCGGGGCTGGAGCGATGGCTCAGCAGTTAAGAACACTGACTGTTCTAGCAGAAGATCCAGGTTTGATTCCCAGAACTCACATGGCAGCTAATAACTGTCTGTACCTCCAGTTCCAGGGGATCCAACAGTGTCTTCTGTGCTCTGTGGGCACATGGGTGCATTTACCTACATGCAGGCATAACACTCATACACACAAAATTTAAAAAATAGTAAAATATCTTTTAAAAGCACTTTGCATATGATCATTTCTGGGAGTCTGAGCAGAGAATACAATCCACTCAACAAAACAGAGGTCCACGAAGCCATAATGTGGAAAATCAATCAATGTATATATGCCTGGATTGAGTAAAAGAGAAAACTCTTCCTTGGAGTAGAATGGCATTTAACACCTTTAGGAGGAACTGTAGAAATAGAAAGCCGCTATAAGGCAATCACAGGAATGGTGGGTTATGGGTGGGTGAGACCCGATGAGAGGAAGGGCATTAGTGTCATCTCAGATGCTCTCTGTGAGATTCCCTTCCACCACAGAGTAGGCATCAACTACAGTGAGAAACCTGACAGATGAAATGTGGTCAGAGTAATGACTTCATGCAGGAACAGGTGACCAAGGTTACCATGTCCATAAAGGAACAGGTGACCTAGGTTAATGGCACCATGCAGGAAACAGGTGATACAGATTAACAGCCCAGTGGTGGAACAGGTCAGCTTCCCACACCCTGATGTGATGCACTGAGGACAGCAGTCACATTTCCAGGGCATTCCTACCAAGAGAACATGTCCAGTTCCATGAGG